TTGCGAAATTGAAAAAAAAACGCTTATTTGACGATTTTTCAAAAAAAAAAATACTAATACACATGATTGTAGTTGAAAATTTTATACTCCAATGTATATGCGGAGTAATCAGCAGATATTGATGTTTCTTTTACAATGGTGTTTATATGCCACGTTCTAAAAGAATGATTTTTAAGAAGTTTGGAAAGTTCCGTGTTTTCATATAGCAGTCCATCTGATGTCGTGCTTTGATTATGACAGTCAGATTTGACAATTGCACCGTATAGCATGTTATGTCATGACGATTCTATTTTTTCAAGCTTATAACTCTGTTTGAAGAATATATGGAATCCTCTCAAATCCATTAGGAACGGACTTCTCACTTTCATTCTTCGCCTTCCTCAAAGCGTTGGCTGAATGTACTATTTACTGGGAATCATTTACATGGAATATAATCCGTGATGATGCCTTATTGTGTTTGCAAAGACTCTCGGCCTGGCCCAGAAGGGGATAGCGATCATCTCCCCCCTCTTTCGAGGGCAAGCCGCTACAGAGCTTGTTTGAGCAAGCTGTTAGGGTGGTAAGGATTACTCGTTTATTCAAGGGTGCAAAGTCTAATTTTAACCCAAAAATTGAATTCTATGGGTTAGACCAAACATAGTGTAGGTGCCATCAATCTTGGGGCAATGACCGCTGTTCAGATGTTTTTTTTCTTTCTCTCCTCGTTGAGAACAGCGGCCTGGGCCACAAAGCGACACAATCGCGCACTCATTAACAATGCTAATCGACACTTGGATGTGGTCGGCTTTTCCTCGTAAGGGTGGCGTGAGCTCGGTCGAGACATGAACCGCATAATAGCCGAGCGTACGACGACAATTGTGGTTATGTAAGATAGCCGACAAACGAGACCGCCAGAAGGGGTAGACGGGGAACGAGCCCCCTCTCCGCGTTCAACGATACATTGCTGCTCAGCTGGAGGAGCAGGTGGGTGCTCCTCGGAGAGAGTGGACGTCTTTGGAGGTCGCA